TTAATTTGCTGCATATTGATGTGTATTAGTCTACACCTAGATCCTTTCATTTGTTAGTTATTACTTTACAAATGAAATTTATTTGCTGGATGAAAAACTTATTTCAGTACAGCTCTTAATCAGTGACTTGAAATTCCTTTCATGAGTAATTTAAGGAGGTTTTAAGCAGCAAGGATTTTTTTGCTAGAAAGATTTACATTTCATTGCAGGTTTTGGAGCACTAAACCACAGTGCCATATAGTGGAAGAACTTGGCTCTGCAACTTGCATTTCCCCATATCATTGACATCCAGTCTCAATGTTTTGCTATTGTGAATCATGGAACAGAATGCACGAACTTCTCTATAGAGAGGGAGGAAGGAAGTCGTAGGAAGGCAAATAAGTGACACTTATTCATTAGTGGTGTCTGAGTGGCATTCGTGGAGGTCTCAGAACAGGTTACTTATTCTTGGCCATGGATGGTGTGTAGAAGAGCCAAAGCATTGTACTCGCATCCACCCCTAAAAAAAACAATTGGCAGATTCAGTCTTGAGAAGCAGTTTTCATTGTAATTTTTTTTTTTTTTTGCCCTTTCCTCATTCCTGTAGGAAATTGCTTATGATTTGACAGCTAAGAAGATGGTAATGAAATACAAGTCAAGGTTGGGAATTTGATAAGCTGTTTAAATTTATTCAATGGAGAGAATTTGGAATTTTAGGCTTTTTGCCAAAGAATAATTTCTCTCAATTTCTTTGCACACATTGACCAACTACTATTACTTAGTGTAAACTTTATTAACCCATAATGCTCTTTTCTTTCATGTGCTAAATACTTATACGTTCAGCTTGGAATAAAAAGTTGAAGTACTGAATATTTGTTGACCGAAAGGCTGATCCCAAGACAGATTATTCAAATGTGACTTCATGTGAATGTGAACATTTATATTTTCCAATGTATTCAGCAGAGTATTATACTTGCAATCAACATGAATCTCAAATCCTGTGCAAAAATAGGACCACTATTAGGATTAAATAACTAATGTAGATATTTGCTTAACCATTGACAAGTAGGCCTGTCTGCTTTTGCTTATATTAAGGAATCCCTATATTTTCAGAGCTTAAGTGTTCTGTTTCAATGGAATAATGCAAAACACTCTCTACAGAGGTTAAGTATGAAAGGCTGATTTTAGTGTAAGTTAATGAATGCATAAATACATTTACTTTTTGTACAGAATAAAGAAATTTACCAGAAACATTTTCCACGTGATACGATAAAATGTATTTTCCCAGTATTCATTCTCTTACCCGTAGGTAGGTGCAGGATCAGAACACATGAATTAAATTCTTTGGAGCCTTCAAAAGTATTCTATGCAGGAAATGGCATCCATTTTATGCACTTGAAACCTGCCTGCCCTTTTGGTCTTTGAGCTGAAGATTGCTTTTGTGTGATAAGAGTAAAGCTATATGAAAATACTCCTTAGTCCTGTGCGTATACTGCTGTGACTAAAACTTCGGATTTGCAGGATGATCAGACAGACCTAGTGAAAGATTACATTCCTTTTGAATGTAGTTGCTTTTACCAATATATAAAAAAAATTGGGATTGTCAATTAGGATTCATAAATATCTCCTTAAAATGGCAGCTGTTTAGCGGCAATCCATTAGGTTTACAATTGCAATTATAGATGTACTTGCCATCCAATTTTAATCTTAATTTTTGCAACAAGATTTTTTTTTAGTCTATTTACAATCTTTCGTTGTCTTATGTGACTTCTAAGGCAAACTAGGAAGACTGGCAGAAATTTTTAATTGATCTGCCAACTAGTGGAGTCCTGTAGCTCAGTGGTTAGAGCACTCGATTTGCAAGTGAGAGACCTGAGTTCAATTCCCGGCAGAGGGCGAAAGCTTGGGCAAGTTTCCTTACTCCACACAGAGCCTAATAATAATCCCTTCAAAACCAAAAACAATAATAAAATGGTCATTTTCAATCTACGACTGTCTGTGGGACATTGCTGTGTGCAATTGGCTGCCGCGTTCGCCCTCAAATATACAGTCAATTCACTTTACAGTGTGTTCTGTGAAGCGCTTTGGGACGTCCTCCCGACGTGAAAAGCGCTATATCAAATGCAAGGATTATTATTATTATAACTACAAGGCCTGTTGTTTGGCAAATTGGAAAAGGGAGATTTGTGGGCTGTGCTGTACACTAGGTTGTGATTCGCCATTATTGGTTTGTGATTTTGATCGGAAGACATGCAAGGTTAGAGTGTGTGGTATAATTTGAAGCCATTGTTTGACATTATTTTTACATGAGGGAGTAATGACCTTTACCTGATACTGAGGGTCATGTGAGGATTGGAAGCAGTTGAAAATTGATTTTTGAGATCATGCGGAGAAGAGATGGTCATGAAAGCAAAAGGTGCCAGAATCCTAACGATTTGAAGGCCTAAATAAGTTTACTCTATTTTGCACATACGCTTTTTTAATATGCTTTTTAATATGAAATTGATATACTTTTTTAGAAAACGTGCTAGAGTCAGTCTGTCGTCTTTGGATACTAAGCGTGGTCACAGTAGAAAAATATGCATGTGAAGGAGGGATCGTGAGCGTAATTAATATCTGGCGATGTTTGTATAAGGTCATAATAAACCCAGAGTTCAGATGAGGCCGAGCTATGAAAATAAAAGTTGAGTAGTTTACACAATCACTTAAAATCTGAGAGTGTTAAACCTTGCAAAAAAAAAAACCATTTGAAAGAATTAAATAGTCAGAGATTGATATTAATGTTTGAGCTTTTGCTTTGGAGGTTTGCCATGAACACTTGTATATTTACTGCTGCTTTTGTGGCAACCAATCATTCTTGTAAGGTTCCCTGTGTGATGAGAAGTGAGGCTTTTTAAAAAAAAATGCATTACTTTACTAAAGCCTTAATTGAAACAGATAACGGGAAGAGTTTTTTTATTAATGGTGCCTGTTCATGGGTTGAATTACAGCTGTGTCTATTGACGATGCCATCTTTCGGATAACTCGTTAGCTGAGTTTCCAGCTACCTGCTCAGGTACTTCACGTAGTGAAATGTTACTCCTATGCAAGCAAATGCAGGAAACAATCTGTAGCACAACAGAAATTAAATAAATAACCAATTAATTTGTCATCTTGGTGAATTTGGGCGAGGGAAAATTGATTAAGCTAAGATATTAGGAGAAAACCTTCAACAATGCAGCACTAACCATATTACAGCACTGCCTTATGAATTCTGTTCTGGCGCTTGCTACCAAATAAATTAAAACTTTCGGGATATAAGTTCCCTTCTCTCATTTGAGTAAAATGACTTCAAGAAGTTTCCTTTAAATTCCTAGTAGGAGTTTTGATATGTTTGTAGGTGCACTTATTGTGCAGAGGAATCCCTTTGAAGTTCCCTTTGCATTTGTTTTTCATATTAAAGTAATTTTATGACCGTTTACATTATTTCTGAACAGAGATGTATATTTTGCCCATGATAGGTGTGTGCTCTTTTTGCCTCAGATAATTTCTATCACAAGGTTTCTCTTCTCCAAAGTACCTCCATCCTACTTATATCTGTTTCCAAACATTCAGAGCAGTTGGCAATGCCCAAAGTATGTATTTGCAATACAAGATTGCTCTAAAATACCGTACAATTATGACTTAGGATACACTTGACCTGATAGAAGTTCTCATGATTTGATCTAGCTTGTGCATTATACCAATCATCTAGCCACTTGCTCTGCAATATTCTTAACAAGTAGAAGCGAAACTTGATGGCCTTAGCAAAATCCTATAGATGCACTACTGGGTTAAGATTTCCAAAATATTGCCACAGTATAGAGTCGGTCGAAGATAATCGGGCTCCTCTTTGGCATTGAGTGCTGCAAGTCAAGGATATCCTGGTACAGTGTACAGAGATAAGGTTGTTAGATAAGAGTATGGAAAGGTCATTTGGCTGGTCTTCAACTGTCCAGCTTGAGTTGTAATGCTTGTAAGGGTTATATGCTTCATGGCACAGGAGTGTAAAACACTTCATGCACCAATGATGCTTGGCTTCACACCTCGTCAAAAGTGATTTGAGTTTTTGAGACCATCGGTGTATAGACTATAATCTGACACTTTTTAAAAAAAATATAGAATCTGCCTTCAATTTACAAGGATTGTCATTTTACATCCAAATTCAATCCAGGTAAATAGTTTTATCATAGTTTGTGATAGTGGTGGGGGCTGTGAGATCAGTGGTTTTGTTGTAAAATCTTGTACATGCAGTGAAAAATGGTTTCAGTTGAGGGCCTTCTGTATATCAACTATACCAATAAAGTTGTATAATTTTTATCCCTGGTACCTACGTCACTGATTACCACTGCAGTTGGAATTTCATTATAATTCAAAAATAGTTTGCCCAATTATTTTCTAATTTCCTCTCCATCGACATATACCTCTGCTTCCATTTAATAGGTTAGGCTAATAACTTCTGTTCTATGTAACTGTTTTAAAATGATTTGGTTTGATTATTCCTGACTGTCCAGCGCCTTGGGACGTCCTCCTGACGTGAAAGGCGCTATACAAATGTAATTTGTTGTTGCTTTTGGTCCCTGTTCTCTTTGTGCAGTTTCATGCCTGCTGCTTGCCCTCTGCTATACTGACGGAGGAGTCACTGTTCATGCGTGAGCACTGGCTGGACCCAACTACAGAGGGCATCACATACGAACCTGATCTCTCCTCACCTGGCTATGTCCTCACAAGATTCAAAATCCGCCATACGATATGATTTTATTTTAAAATAACTTTTGTGTCCCTTCCCCCATTTAAAACGCATACCAATCCTTCATTGAGAGCAGAAACTGCCACCAGCTCTTAGATGCTCTGCCATTGCCAAAGAGCGCTAATTTTTTTTTACATAGAGTAATTTGCTACTTGAGCTGTATCAAATTGATGAGGCGTTTTAAGAATGCAAGTTCTTTCTTTATTTTTTTGTAAGGAAAATAATCTAATCTAACGTACTTAATCATTTAAAGGTACAATGGAAGAACTTCATAGCCTTGACCCTCGACGGCAAGAACTGCTAGAAGCAAGATTTACAGGTGGAGTCAGTACTGGGAGTGGGAGTGGAAGTACAGGAACTAAAGTAAGTTGGGCTGGTTTGTCATATTTATGGGGGGAAGAGACAAAACACATCATTAGAAACCTTTAAAAGCTCTTAGCACAGAGTTATGTTTAAATGATGTGTGCAATAGTTTAAATTTTTGCTTATGAATTTTATACTCGCCTTTTTAAAAAAAATTCAACTCTCCTGTAAAATGTTGAGCTGCATTACAAATTTGAGAGAGTCTGACTCAGTAGGTGCCCTAAAACATGCTGTTTGAGTTGTTGAATATAATATACTTATATTAAGTGTGGATCCCTGACTGTCCAGCGCCTTGAGACATCCTCCTGATGTGAGAGGCGCTATAGAAATGTAATTTGTTGTTGAAACTTTGTGTGCCTTGACGTTATTGTTCTAGCATCTTGGGTCCCTCTAATCTGACCATTTTTCTCTTTGATTTGCCATTAGGCTTTAACAAATAACGAATGTTCTAATCACAGTTTTGGAAGCCTTGGATCATTAAGTGACAAAGAATCGGAGGTATGTGCGTGCATTTATACTTCATGTTTTCGTAGTTTGAAAGATGATATTAAAATTGTCAACAGGGAGATTGAAATATATATATATAGAAGTTGCTGTTCACAATATGCATATTACCAAACAAAATTCTTTTTTGCTACATTTTCTGATTAAGCCTTCTATTTTTAACCCCATTTCCAAATGTGACGAACGTGTTGCATTTCAGTTAGATTCCTAGTTTAAGTGTTCTGGTTATTCACATGAATTTATATTTAAAAATTCCGTGAAGCTCCTTGGATATTTACACATACAGAGATTTTATAGATTTATATTTTGTTTACTTTCTCAGTGGTTAGGCGCTCTGAGACCCTACCCTCCCTCCGTGAGGGGCTCTATATACATGCAAGTTGTTGTCTTTTCAATTTTGTTTTACAGCTGTTTTGTCTTATGTTCTTCATTAAAGTTCCCTAGAGTTACGTAAGGAAAAAATAAGTACCAAAGTTTAAATAAGGCCTTAGCTACAGCCTGCAAAGGCTTCAGATAGTCCGAGTATCCTCTTTGTTTGATGAAATGATGAAAAATTAAATGCGCAAACGGTCCTGATGGGAGGAAAGCGCTCTGGAATGCTCCGCTGTGTGAGGGGTGCTATATGAATGCAAGTTGTTGCTGTTGTTGATGATGATAGTGTGGTTAGAGCTGCAGTTTACAGGCTGGTAGCTCGCTGGTTTGAATTTTGGGACTGAGTTTACTGCTCTAAATCTTGGCTCCATTTGGCCCTCAAAATATACAGTCGATTCACTTTGCAATATATTCCGGGAAGCGCTTTGAGACGTTTCGAAGATGTGATAAGGCTCTATATCAAATGCAAGGATTATTATTATAAATTGGATCCAGCCTTTCCAGAATTGGGGAACAGGAAAGGCCAGCCTGGTCCTCACTCCTCTTCAGCTGATTAGGGTTTTTTTGGGAGGGTAAGAATTTAATTTAGTTATTTAAAGAAGGAACGCAGGTGTTATCGAAGCTCAGAGCATTGAACTCCCACATTTGAATGCAACTCAACTGCTGTGCTAATTTTCCTGACATCAAATTGGTGTTGAGCCATTTACCTCACAGTGCTGACTTCTCATTAGGCAAGGTCCTTTGGGGGAATCATCTAATGTAAATGAGGAATGAAGCTACTTCTCCTGATATAGGTGTTTTATCCCACCTTCAAAGATCTTGATTCAGCAAGATAAATAAATGCTGTGTTTATAAGCTGCCATTTTTCATAATATGTGAGGAAGCTCACCACAATAGACCAAGGATTTGAGGAACAGGGAATGTCTACATCTGGAAAACAAGTTGTAAGGAGCGACTTAGGAACAAGTTAGTCATTTGCATATCTGTAATTTTCATGATGTTGCTGATGTCTTAGATTCCTCCCTGCAAATTAAACTGGGCTGATTGGAAGCACCAGTAGCTTCAGGCAGTTTTAAGAGCTGTTTTCAATGTATTTGTTTTTAAGAATGGTTTGCTAGTGTTTAATGCCAAGGTGATTTACTCGAGTGGAAGCATCTATCTGTTAACTAACCATGCATGGGCTATTTTGTTTAGCTGGATCTCCAATGGGGTTGCAGTCTTAATAGTTTCCTATTTTGTTTTGTGCAGGTCTTTTAGAAGTAAGACGACAATTAACTATGCTCAATCAGATTTTTCATAGGACCTAAGTGCTCTGAGATACTACCCCACATGAAGGGTGTTACACATATGCGAGTTGTTGTAATGGTAGTGATTGTCAGTGAGTTGATCCTTGGGTCAGTTTTTAATTTTTTCTGTTTTCTTCACTAGTTTCACTATGTTGATTAGGTGAATTGTATTCCAGTATTTGTGTTGGTATTTTTGGATCATTTTTGACTAATTTATGGGGGGGGGGGGTGAGCTCTTTGTGTATGTGATTTAATTATGAGGAGGGTGTCCTCATGGCTTCCTTGTTTTTGTTTGTAATGTGATGTTTGAAGCTATCGGCATATGAGAAACCAGAAGCAAGGATTTGCATTTTTTTTAAATCAGCAAAAGTCTAACTCTGGAGTTGTTCTTTTTGAAAGTATCCTGCAGTCATGACTTCTGCAACCAATACAAATGCCGCAAACAAAAGGAAAAAGGATTTGAGATATAGGTGCAAGAAGCATAGATGCCTGACCAAGAATCTGCTGAAAACTGTTTCACGACTTACCAGTCTAAATAGTATTGGCCATTCTTGTGTTGAGATGTATGCTATAGCTGCAAAACAGATTTGCAGTCTACATTACTCACTGTTACAAAAACTTTACTCTGGAACCTTTACACATGCTTAGTGACCGAGTCGCAAATAGACTACGGTTGACATCGGCGATGTTTAAAACTTGCTTTGTGCGTTTGGGACAGGGTTGCGTTTCCTTCCATTGAGTGTTGTTAAAGCTTTGGGATTTATTTTTTCCACTTGAACTGTTGATCAATTCACCTTATGGTTCTTTTCTTTTCCTAGTCACTCTCCAGCCCAGACTCTTGCTTATTCTCTCAAGTCCAACCACAGAGACGACGTAAAACTGCCAGCAATGATAGTGTACGTTACCTTTGAGCTTCCTCTCTATACGGCCTGATTACTGTGGATACATCTGAGATGTTTATGTGCTAATTAGTTAGCCTTTCTTTACAAGTTCACATGGTGACTGTTCAACTGCAGAAAGTGTTGTGGCATATTTCAAAATTCTATTGCAAAATACCTGTGGCAGTTATTGCTGTATAAACTTCTGAAAGTCTACATAATGCCTTGTAGGTTTTTGTAACCCTACAATATTGAAGCTCGGTAATGAAGTTCTGTTTTCAGAGTCTTATGGGTTTCTAACCAGTAGGTTCTCTCGTTTGACAGTGTAATTGGATTCTAAATTTGAGAGCAAATGTTTTTTATTTTTATTGGAAATTGAGATCAGGCTAAATACACTTTAAAGAAAAATCTAATTTTAACAGCTGTGCACACGTTGGACATTCTTTTTTCTTAACTTGAACCAAATTTGAGATTTGACCACAGCTACCGTTTATGTGCCAACTGTGTGTGTTTTCTTTTCCTCTGTTAAGGCTTCAGTTGCGAAGAGAGGGAGCTCCTCAACGTATTCAGTACGTATTTCTCTTTTGAGTTGGTTTTTTGGAGGTTGCATTATTTCTGGAGTACTGTTTGGACTAAAACAGTCAAAGAAAAACACTTTTTTTTTTTGCATGTGGAGCCACGAAAGGTCATGTATGCCTCATGCAACCTACTGCTTTTAAACCATGGCTTTGATGCTCTGCCAGATTCTAAGATTTGGTTTGCAATCAGTTCTTCAATAGACACTTACGATTTTCACTCTAACACCTATTGCGTAAAGCAGTAGTTTTATTTTTTTTATCTGCAGATTTTACCAAGTAGAACCGCATAATCCACCAGGAAGAATTGTGATGTTGCTAGACTCCACTTTGAGATTAATACAGTATTAAGTCACTCAAACTTGTTTGCGTAACAATGGCAAATTTCTAGTATTCTCTGTAACCTTTATAGAGAAGCACGGGATCCAGTAGGTTATTTGAAATAATTTACCAGATAGCTCGAATAGATAATCCAGCCATCTTTTGAAAATTAAATCTAAAATGCTTGTTTTTTCCTCCAGCTGAGCTAAGATGGTTTGATTAGGCATTTGGGCGATAATTCTGTTCCAGAAACTATAAAAGTGACGTTTTGCAGTTCAGTTTGTTTGCTGGGATAGTGAAAAGTCAGAAAGGTTTGCAATATTCATTCTGAAGCATTTCCTCTGGGTTTTAGTGTACAGCATATCAAGTGGCAGAGATTGCATGAGAGGTATTGATTGCACTACATGTTTTTTTTCTTGAAATACCACTACATGATGTCTGTAGTACAAATACCGCATTTGCCCTCAATATCTTCTTTGAAATCTTTTTGCTTTTAAAATGATGTGTGTGGTGCACATGTGGTGTAAATCTTGATGTGTGCTCTTACCATAATGTTAGTACTGCATCTGGATACTCAAAACTGTTTCTGTAGAGATTCCCCTGTTCACATTGGAAATTTTCAGGAGTAAAGAATAGACCAAATGCAAGTTGAATCCAGGGCAGAAATAATCTGGAGGTGGGCCACTGAAGAATGTCATAACTGTTATCAGAGAAGCTTATTATTGGGTTTATAATCGAGTATTTATAATGTCACTAAGTTCCCTCAGTGGTATAATTGTATTTCATTGCAATTTGCAGAATATAACTGCTTCTCGAAATAGGAACATGGTGCACAATGTTCCCTGCGAGATCAAAATTGCTTTGTGCAATTTAAATGTTGTTTGTATAAAAGTTGGAAAATAGTGGTTGATGTAATTGAAAAATATTGTTTGACAGTGATCAGTCAGCCTGGCTAGTTGTTTTCTTTCATCGTATTACTAACTCTCTTCAGGTTAACCTGTTTTATTTTAGTGCGGAAGCTGTGCAATTTTTAGTGGTCCAATATTGTATGCCAAGGAACAGTCGAGCACAGATATTCACCCACATATTTTCACAAATCCTAGCCATGTTGTGAAAGAAAGCTTTAAAGTTGAGTATCTCCTTCCTGCTTGGCACCTCCAGGAAGCTTGGCAGGTTGCTTGGGGAAGTGTATGACTCTAGGAGACCAACAGGAAGGGGATGAATATTGAATGAATATTCTGTGGTTGGTGGAAGTAAATTTTAATAAGTGCTTAATGGTTCACATGTATGTATGTAGAGCATTGTTTTATATAAAAGAGCTTAAAAGAAATACTGTACACCATTACAGCATGCCAAATATGACTGGACCTGATGTCCTTTTCATTCCTAGATTCAAAAATATGAATTAATTTTAACTAAGTTTGTTTTAATTTAAAAAGCTCTACACAACAACAATTTGCATTTATATAGCATCCTTCGTCTCAGAGCGCTAAGCAGTGGCAGTATTCCTATTGGCTAATACTGCAACATTGCAGTTGGTTTGCTTTTGAGTGAAATGGTCTAACTTGATTTTAACTCTTCATAGAAAATTGAAGACTCAAATGTTGGGAAATGAATGGTCAGCGGTGGGCTTTTTTGGTCCAGGGAGGGTTCTGTTATTTTAAATCAGAGTGGGGTTTTTTTTATATTCTGTTGTATTCTGTGTTCAAGTGAATTCAAAAGTTGTTGGGTTGGAAGATAATTTATGGTTCTACCCGTTGAAACATAATGCACGTATTATGGTTTGCAGAAATCTTCTTTCTAAATATTTTTAATAAAAGGTAATAATTGGAGGAGTATAGTATAACTTTATTTGTTGAACCATTTTAATTAAGTTGGATATTAGTTCTGCCTTTAAATTATAATAATAATAATAATCCTTGCATTTGATATAGCACTTTTCACGTCGGGAGGACGTCCCAAAGCGCTTCACAAAACACACTGTAAAGTGAATTGACTGTATATTTGTGGGCGAACGCGGCAGCCAATTGCGCACAGCAATGTCCCACAAACAGTCGTAGATTGAAAATGACCAATTTTTTTAATTATTGTTTTTGGTTTTGGAGGGATTATTATTAGGCTCTGTGTGGAGTAAGGAAACTTGCCAAGGTTTCGCCCTCTGCCTGGAATTGAACTCAGGTCTCTCACTTGCAAAGCGAGTGCTCTAACCACTGAGCTACAGGACTCCACAAAATTGCATTTTTCACACCAGTTTGCCATGTAAAGTACAGTACAATATGGTTCTGTGTTGAGCAGTGTGCTTCAGAAGCACCAATGCAGAAACTGCCTCGTAAAGATGGCTTTGGCAGCACTTCAATATGTAAATACAGCAACTGCAATTCTGTTCCAACTCTACTCCATGTAGTCCCTTAAAAGTTATTTTGTCATTCTTGTGAATTTTTAGTAACATTGCTAAATCATCTCCTGACGGAGTAACTGCAGGTAAAAGCTTAAAGAAAGGCAAAACTCTTGGATTTGACTGCAGTAGATCACGTATTTCATTAGTTGTTTGGTGTAGATTATTTGGATCCAGATCAAATATGTCTCATGGTGTTTCAATGTTTTCATATGAAGTATCCATCTGCTTCCTTTTAGCTGTCAACATTGGCACTTAAATTTACAGAGAAGGTTTATTGTGACTATTAAGTACAAATAAATATCTGCCTCAATTTTTGTTTCCTTCCTGATTTTTATGGGGTATGTGCAATTATTGCCCCTTTCACTGCTGACAATTTGCTTTAACTCGACGCAAAACAGTGATTTTGCAAGAAATCTTCTTGTAGTGTATAATTCATTTCTGCACCAGATAATATTTTATAAACTAAGCCAAAGGGGAATGAAAATATTTTTGAACAGTGGGTTCTCAGGGGAAAGTAGTGGGATACGGTTTGGACATTCTTCTCGCCTAAAGAGGTCGGTGGGCCGCTTTTCATGGTTTTTCAAGTTCTGTTGTTCCTTCTCTCTCCACTTTCTCTGCCCCCACCACCGCCCCTCCCACCACCACCGCCCCAACCTAAACAGCAATGGTCTTTGTAATTTCACCCTATTAAAAATTACCCATTTTCAGTATAAATTCCTAGCATTGGATTTGGAGATTCCACTTTTCAACCTCGACAACAACTTGCAATTGTATAAGCGACCGTCACGTGGGGTAGCGTCCCGGAGCGCTTATTAGCTGTGGTGGTATTTTAATCGTCACTGCTGTTTCTTCTTTAGACTCCAGAAAAAAAGCAACCCGACTCCTCGAGAGGAAGAAAGCGGAAAGCTGAGAGCCAGAGTGACAACAGCCAAGGTGAGAGATGCAAAGGCAATCTTCCAAACTGAGAAGTTGTTGGGTAAATTTGAGAAGGAAATCTATCCACCCGTTTTTCTACCGTGTCATAAAATGCAGCAATAAAACATGACAACAGACAAATGCTCTTGCAAATAGAAAAGGACATCCAGTCAGTTCCCCCTCCTCCCCACCCCTGTATAATATCCAAAAAGTCTTGAGTGGAAATTCATGCATGACAGGAAGCTTGAATTCATATCTGAGCAGCCCATGACAAGAAGAACAAAATTGGTTGGAAATGATTAACCATTGAACCGTACAACCAACCTGGATCCATGGAAGGTACCTCATGGAATTAAAATGGATGGAGGCACTTAATGAGTCTGGCAAGCACATGGAGTCATGCTTTACAAAATAAAATGAATTAGAAATAAAGTGAATCTTTTAGAAGTAATTTGTGCTATTATGTTGTCCCCCCCCCCCCCCCCCACACACACACACACACACACACCCTCCCCCAACAATAAACACATCCACTTCATCTAAATGAATCCTTTTAATTTTCAGGAATTTGATTATAGAGCATTGAGGGTGTTGATGTCTCTAGGCATGTTAAGAACATATTCAACCCTCCCGGCACGTTGGTCAAAGCTGCCATTCTTTGTTGCCTGTGCACCTGTTAACTATACTGTCACTATACTTTATAGAAAACTCTGAAATGGTTTCAGACATTTCACTGTAATAGGTGTTCTATCAAATGCAAGGACTGTCCTTATTATTAAAGATTGGATCTGTTAATGTACCTTCTTCCTCAACTACTATAATTAAATCTGTTCATGGTCAGGTGAGGCAGTCATGTATTGGAAAATCGTAAGGGCAAAATTCAATGGTGGAAACATTAGGCAGACTTTGATAAACAAAATGTATTTGCATAGACCATGGCATTATGTGGTTAGTCTTTGCTCTTCAATCTGAATAGATTATAAACTATGTAATGCAGAGCAATATTTGTAAACGTAACTAATTAGATTCTGGAAAACACAATTGTAATTTTGTTACCTAGTGGAAATTCCAGTGAAGTGATTTAGTATGAGAGGATTACTGATATAAGTATTGATTATGGAATGAATGATAAATGTCAAGCATAGCCAGGACACAATGGTTTCAGAGGATGTGTAAATTAGTTGTTGACCTGGAAAATTGCACATTTTATGACTGCAAAGTTGGGGAATTCTTTTTCTGTGCAATTTTAATGGCAATGTAAATGGCCATAAATTCAACAAATTAAATTTTCCGTCTGATTTTGACTAAATGAAAAATTGTAAGTGCAAGATGATAGAGTGTTGAGTAATGTTGACTGTCAGTGACCTAGATATCGATAACGGATTCCCTAGCAGTGTTTTATGTGGAGATTTTTCTTGGAATAAATAAATTACGCTTAAATAGCATTGCTTGCACGTACCTAATCGCTTACTGGAGGGTATTGTCGTCATAGGTGTAAGCACCAACAGCTCCAAGACCTTCCGCAAAGAAAGGAATTCTGTGTATGTTGTTGTAAAATGCTCAGGTATACTTAACTACTTAGAAGTAAAAGCAATATACTTCAATAGCGTTTAACCTCCATCCTGTTTGAAAGTAATTTGATTTTCCGTATATCTAGATGAACATAGTTGGGTTTTTAAATTGGTATCTTTTGAAGTGTAGAGCTGCTTGTCAACCATAGGTTTCAGTGGGGTATGGATTAAATGGTACATTGTAAATCACTGTTTTTGTTCAGGAAAGGGTGCTGGCCGAGGACCTAAAATTAGTGACTATTTTGATGTAAGTATTTTAACATTTTTACTGCATTTTGTCTCGGATATAAAGAAAAATAAATTTTTGCTTTGTTTGTTAAAACTAGAAATTCTAAAGTTAAATATCTGTAATATCTGCATGTACAACTTCGACTTTTTTTTCCAATCACTGCACTAAATTTATACATGACAATTATTGCTATAATTGGTCTTCAACCTATAACGTAATTGTATATGCTTTGTGCTGAGTTTCCCATATTGAAGGTAAATAGCTTTCCATACATAACAATCTAAATATTTTGTTAATTGTAAGAGACATTTGTATGACTTTATTTACAACAATAGGTATTTATATAGTTTACATCAATCTTTGACGATCTTATAAATACATTAAGGTTTTGTATAAAATGCTATTTCTGGAGAGAACTTCCATTTTTTGATGTTTACTGGAGTAAATATGGGATGATATCATATTTTCTCTTTAATTTGCAGTATACAGGTGGCAATGGAACAAGCCCAGTGAGAGGTGTACCACCTTCAATTCGATCTCCTCAGAATTCATCTGTAAGTTTTGTATCTATATCAAATGCAAAGATTATTATACAAGAATTAAAGTCTAATAATGAAGAAAACCGTACCTAAAATGATCTAATCTCATGAGATTCCTTTGCTTTATTTTTGTTCTGGAAGTTAATCAGAATAACCTTTTAAGTTGAAGTACGCTGGTATGGTTCCTCCCTTATGCAAAAACACTGTAACAGAGGAGCTCATTCAGTTGACCACTGGAATTGAACCAGAAAGTTCTGGCTTGGAATCCTGGTGGGTTTATTTAGCTTTTAATTTGATAGCATTAGAGTGGGAGGATGGGGAGTGTGGCGCTGAACTGATGAAAAGAGATGTATATGGGGGACCTTCTGGCTTAAGGAGACGAGACAAGCAGCCTAACGGTTATCCAAGATGCTTTTCTTGGTTGACCTGCGTTTTGTGCAAATTAGAGTTTGAGGTGTAGAGGTGTTTTCAAGCCAAAATCCCACTTGAAAAAAAGCAATGCTGTGTTTTGGAATATTTGCCCTTATCACGCTCAGATCCTGATTGAAGTTTTTGATTGTAAAATAAGAAATTATTTGGCTATGGGATTCTGTTGACAGCATAATAAGCAAGACATATGTTAAGAGTGTGAGGTATGTTCAAATTTAATAGACTAAACAATAGGTGTTGTGCTCTTGCCTGTATTTATCATTTACCAGCTATTTTGCAGTAAGAAATAACTGCAGGAGAATTCCAAGCATGAAAAACATCTTCTCATTTTTGTTTCAGCTTCGGCAGAATAGTCCATCTCCTACTGCATTAGCTTTTGGAGACCTCTGTGTTCCACAACTAAAGCAAACTCCTGTCTACTGCAAGACGACTCAGGTACATGCTATTGAGCAGCAATGAGTGAAGGGTATGCGTTATGGCAATTTTTAAATGAATTACTAGTTGTGGCAATAATTGTAATGGATTCAGAATGATAGACTGGATTGCTGGTAAGACTTGCTTTGTGTCAGTATGTATGTTGTTAACTGGTATTGTAATAGCCCAATTACTATTTTTTTGAAAGACCGACTTAACCATGGTAAAATTAGCTGCACTGGAAACTAATAAGAATTTAGACCTGGAAAAGAAAGAAGGCCGAATAGATGACTTGCTAAGGGTAAGTAAAAGCAATTCCGCTGGCATTTTGTTTAATTGATATTCAGTGCATATCCAATTTATGATCCAAGGAGAAATTTAGTTTAGGAAGAGTAGACCAGTGTACTGGATAGATCATGTCAGTCAGTCTGGTCATGGCAAAAATATTTGGGTCGTTGAGCAAGTTTCCAATAAATCCCGTTAAACCTCTGGGCATGACATAACATCTAACCCAATGTGTGAAGAGTAATGTTGGGCCTTCATTGCAGTCATTCTCCAGCTTGGTTTGATCTCTGCAGTGATGCATATTGTAGTTTGAACCTTCCAGATGCATTTTAAAAAAGATAGAGAAATGCCAACAATTGCTACTGGGATTTCCCACTTTCCCTTTGTGAATTTCTCATTTAATGCAACAAATCCAGTTTGTGAATATTGCTTATTGGTGTCTATTACCAACGTATTCTTGCACTACTAATTAAGTTACGCCACCTGGAAGGCTGAAAAATAACCCGGATGTTAGGTTTCATCCACCTGTTCAATGCCTCCTTCCTTTCCTGCAATTCCTCCCATACAGTCAAACGACTTTCAAACCAGCCTAAAGGAGGCTTTACCTCAAAATAAGCAATACTATATTTTGACAGGAAATTGATTGCAGTATCAGTGCAGGAGGTGCAAATCAATTTCTTTATCCAAATTTTGGCCCTTAAATGTTTTGGGCTTTCAATTTTTAAGTAACTGTTATTAATGTTATTGAAGGGTAATTGTGTTTGTGGTGCATGTACATTTGCAGAGCTCTCTTCTAGCCCTTGTGAAAGTGGGCAAAACGTCAATACTATCTTTCCCTCTTTTAATCAGTTTACTGCTGTCTCAGCAAATTGTCTACAGCACTATAAGTAGAACATGAATTAACAAGGTGTTCAATAATTTAAACATTTACCTTGTACAAAAGAATGGAAAGTGGGTTGCCATGGCACAAGCTATTGGGCAATAAACTGAATGTCTCACCATTGAACAATAAGCTGAATTTTCTCACCACTTGATAGGTTTGATAGGCCAAGGAGCCTTATAATTTCATGCTTAATTCAGGATGTTGATTAATGCAATATGTGTGTGTATTAAAATGTTCAAAGGCATACCTGTAATAAATTTAGCTGCCATGTTTCCTAGTTTTTCCCTTTCATGTATTGTTTTAAACTTTCAAGCAGGGAATTTGTGTTCATACCCAATTCAAGAGAGCTCAAATCTTGTAAAGTGAGTGAATTTTTGTGGCAATGCGGTATTCATGTTTTATTATTTTGAACAGAGAAAATCATTGGTAATTTTTACAGGCTAATTGTGATCTAAGAAGGCAAATAGATGAACAGCAAAAACTGCTCGAGAAGTACAAAGAACGGTTAAACAAGTGCATGACAATGAGCAAAAAGCTGTTGATTGAAAAGGTGAGATTGACTCTTACAATCTGTTGTTTACACAGTAAACTTTTTTAATACATTTTTTAATACATTTTAAAGTTTACACAGTAAGTAAAAAAAAACTTTTACTATTTATGTATTACAAAGGGCAACAATCAAGATTTTCTTTTGCTGTTAAAAATCATGCTCTTAGCGTATTTGTCAACTGGTAGAATTGTTTTTGCTGTTTAAATTTATTTTCATCTAAGCTTCATCGTTTATCATTTTCTTATGATAATAATACTTGATATGGCGCCTTATCACGTCGTTGAGACGTCTCAAAGCGCTTCACAGGATATACTGTAAAGTAGTGTTGACTGTATTTTGTGAACAAAATGCTCGCAGCAATGTCCGATAAGCCGAATAGCATCCTAACTACGATTTGATTTTTTTTCTTAACTCTTAAGAGTAAGCAAGAAAAGCAAGCTAGCAGAGAGAAGAGCATGCAGGACAGGTTACGCCTGGGCCACTTCACTACAGTTCGACACGGTGCGTCATTCACTGAACAATGGACCGATGGCTATGCATTTCAGAATCTTGTAAAGTAAGTGAAAGTTTGCGTATTTGTTGCTCGTCTCATTTTTGAAAATGTATTTCTGGCGTTTGCCTAACTTTTACACCGTTTTCGAATAGACAGCAGGAGTGGATAAACCAGCAGAGGGAAGAAATTGAAAGACAAAGAAAACTACTAGCGAAGAGGAAACCTCCTCCGACCCAGAATTCACAAGCCCCTGCAGTAAACTCTGAGCAAAAACAACGTAAAACAAAAGCTGTAAATGGTGCGGAAAATGATCCTTTTGTCAGACCACACCTTCCACAGTTGTAAGTGTGAACCCTTTATTTTGAAGCACAATATAAACTGTTACATGCAACAGGTCAGCCCAGAAAGAATTCCATACATTCTGCCTTATACATTCCTTTCCAGTAGACATTTGATCCAAGATGGTTTAACTTTTTACTTCTGCTTCATATTAAAATCCTTGCACTAAAGGATTTGAACTTTGGGGGTTTCCATATTTTCTCTGGTTTTGTTTCATTTTATTATGAAAGATGTTTAAATCTGATTAAAACTTTTCAAACCTCCCAACAAGTTATCACCTGGTTAAACTGGAGTAGTTGGCGTTTAAAAGTTAGTTTCCCCAACTGTGCACAAATCAACTTGTTTCCAGATACTCGTCTGTCAATTCTGGCAGAGAGGGGGGTGTTCCACGTTTATCGATCACTTTGACAACATGATTCAAGTTGCTGGTTCTAGGAATTTGGCTGTAATTGGCACAGTGCTAAAACACACTGATAGGAGTGGAAGTAGTATATTAATTTATGAGCAATGGGTACACAATGTTCTGCATATTTGGAACCTAATCAATCAGGAGTTTAGTAGCAAACCACATTTATAGTAGCATGAGTATGGATGCCAACAAGATAAAATAATCCTTACATTTGATATTGCGCCTTTCATGTCAGGAGGACATCTCAAAGTACTTCACAGGATGTACTGTAAAGTGTTATTTCTATTTTGTAGGCATCCAGTGTTTCACAACAGCCATACCTCTTAGCAAGGGGATTAGGATATTGGAGGTGGTTTTAACAAAAAAAAGGAAACATAAATTGTATTGTTTGTGAGGAGGGAAAAAAAGTTAACTGGTAATTTAAATCCCAATTTTCTTTTCTATCCAGATTGACGGTAGCAGAGTATCACGAACAGGAAGAGATCTTTAAACTTAGATTAGGACACCTTAAGAAGGTTTGTTTTTAGTGTTTTAATTTTGCTGAGTGACTGGTGTAATATAACCCTTGCATTTGATATAACACGTCTTTGAGATGTCTCAAAGCGCTTTACTAGAATATACTGTAAAGTGGAATAACTGTAATTTGTTTGTGAAACTTGGCAGGCACATTGCTGTTCCTTAGACTTTTAAAGAACTGAGATGAAACTCAAGATAGGATTCTGTCAATCAGTAATTTGGTTTATTTTGCTGTGCATTGTCTAATATATTAATTGACTGGGGAAAGAACTGTTAATTATTCCCCCATAATAAAGCATAATAAATACTTTTTAAGTGATTGAGGAGATAAGGAGTGTTCAAATCTGTTTCTCTTTGTTATTATCAGGAGGAAGCTGAAATTCAAGCAGAACTTGAACGCCTAGAACGAGTCCGAAATCTGCACATACGTGAACTTAAACGAATAAATAATGAGGACAGCTCACAGTAAGTAGCTGCAAGAGGAAAAAAAAATCTGCCTTACGTAAAGATTGTTGCCATGATTGTATTTGAACCATAATTGTGAATAACATCATTTAAAAGGAGACTGGTTTAGAGGGAGTACATTATTTAAAGCAGCTAAAATGAAGAGAAATTATTGCTTCAGCTGTGGGATAGTTTGTATAATGGAGGAATATCTAGCTGTGCTCAGCTTTTCTGGGTGTTATCAGCTGACTGGTGGGCTAATAATTCTAGTGTGTTCAAAAGTATAGTATAAGAATCGTATGGTGTTCATGGTTATACTATTAGAAAATGTTCCGTGTACAAGGAAATGAACTTCTCTTATTCCAATGCTTTGCTTGTCTCGGCGCTTTTTATGATTTCCTGCTGTAGATTAAACATTCTAATCGTTGTTTGCTGGAGTGTTTAGCTGATACCATAGTATTTACAAGGTTTATAACTATTTATAGATTTAAAGATCATCCTACGCTGAACGAGAGATATTTATTGCTACATTTGCTGGGTCGAGGTGGCTTCAGTGAAGTATATAAGGTAGGTACATGCTAATTAATGGTGGGTTGATCAGCTTGAGATATACACTGTATATTAAAGGAATCTGAATGTCAAAATAAGGTTATTTGAGTGTTCAACATGGCACTTGGGTTTGACTGCTAAAGGGGAAGTGAGGATGCTGTGTTATTGTGTAATTTGTCATGTGTATTAGTGTCATTTGTTGTTGTATAGCTATGATTGATTGGCCAGAATTCCACCAAAAATTCAAGGTCCACACAGAATTTTGGAACATTTTTCAGTTCAATTGTAATTGTTTGAAAGCTTTTTGGGGGGGACCGCATAGCATTAGCTTCCAGAATAGGACGAGATTTAAGAAATTTCTACAACCCAATCTTGAATGTGAAGATAAAATAGTGTTGATAGCTAAGATGTGGTGGAATTTTCAGCCAGGAGCCCTTGTATAACAATAAAGTGTTTCAACATTGTTGTATTTGCAGGGTTTTTAATTGAGGTTCATTTCCTTTTTTAAATAATTCAAATCTAAATAGGATACTTTTGGACCATTTTGAACCTTAATTAACTTTGAGACTTGTGGTTATTGTGCAAAGTATAATTTTTCCATATTTGCGTTAGGCCTTTGATTTGATTGAGCAGCGGTATGCAGCAGTAAAGATTCATCAATTGAACAAAAACTGGAGGGAAGAAAAGAAGGAAAACTATCACAAGTAGGTTCTGAAACTACAACCATTTTCATTGTTCAGATGAAGAACCCAGAGAATCCTTTGCCTGATTTTAATTACTTTAATTACAGACATGCCTGCAGAGAATACCGAATACATAAAGAATTGGATCATCCCCGAATAGTTAAATTATACGACTATTTCTCCCTGGATACAGACACGTAAGTCTATGTAATTTGAGGTAATTTTCAGAATGTGAATATCTGTCCCATATATTGGAAAACAGTTGTTTATTGTAGGATGCTGTCACTAGATTCTTCAACAATCACTTGCTCTATTAGATGTTGGGTAAAATAATCCTTACATTTGACATAGAGCCATTCATGTTGGGATGTCTCAAAGCACCACACAGTGCAATGGCTGTTGTTCTCTAATTATTAGCCTTGAAATGGATAAATGGAGAACTATTTAATTAAAGAATCTTTCAAATGTTATGGTTGCAAATGTATCAGGAAAAACTGCCATTATGAAGTTGTTAGTTTGATCAGATTGTAGGCACAATAGGATTAATAATAATAATAATAATAATCCTTGCATTTGATATCGCGCTTTTCACGTCGGGAGGACGTCCCAAAGCGCTTCACAGAACACACTGTAAAGTGAATTGACTGTATATTTGTGGGCGAACGCGGCAGCCAATTGCGCACAGCAATGTCCCACAAACAGTCGTAGATTGAAAATGACTAATTTATTATTGGTTTTGGTTTTGGAGGGATTATTATTAGGCTCTGTGTGGAGTAAGGAAACTTGCCCAAGGTTTCGCCCTCTGCCTGGAATTGAACTCAGGTCTCTCACTTGCAAAGCGAGTGCTCTAACCACTGAGCTACAGGACTCTACAAATTCACAATGATTTAGAACTGTTTTAGCCAATAGTGTTGATGACCTTTGTAAGGATTGCTAAAGTAATGCAGTTGTAAGGGTTACTAGAGCTGCACTTATGAAGGACATGTACAATAAAATGTAAATTGTCTTTTCTCAGGTTTTGTACGGTTTTAGAATACTGTGAAGGAAATGATTTAGACTTCTACCTGAAGCAGCACAAGTTGATGTCTGAGAAGGAAGCGAGGTCTATTGTAATGCAGATAGCAAACGCATTGCGGTATCTAAATGAGATCAAGCCTCCCATTATACACTATGATCTAAAGCCTGGTAAGTTCACGTTACATGCCGAAAGAATGACTATCAATTTTCTGTCTTATAACCTGGCACATTCAGATGTTCACGATCTCTGTACTTGGTATCCAACATTATAGTAGAACCTTGATTATAATTAGGAAGGTGGATAATCTGATCACCTTGATTCTGTTGAATGGGGAAGGTGAAAAGAGCACATGTGAAGTAATTAAGATTGCAAATTCTCTGATACTTATTATTCCATTGTTTCTGGGTTATTTTCAGGGTTTTTTTTAAAAAAAAAGGGGCAAGATGTTTTGAAGGATCAGATAGAACAAAACTTAAATTTGAAACTCAAACGTTGAGCATTCTCCTGAACAACTCTCCCTCAATCCCTCCGCCTTGCCCCCTCTCTCCCCTTTTTCAAGTCCCGTCTGAAGATCTTCCTCTTCGACCGTGCTTATGGCCACCCTCCCCCCCCCCCCGCCCACCCAGGGCTCGGTGTCGGGCTCTGCCACTGTTAAGCGCTCTGAGACGCTGCCCTGTGTGGAGGGTGATGTGCACGTTGTTGTCGTAACCAAGTTGAACACCTCTGACCTCAGGTATAGATAACATTAAATATCTTAACTTTGTCTTCAGGTAATATCCTTTTGGTCGACGGAACTGCATGTGGAGAAATAAAAATTACTGATTTTGGCCTATCAAAAATTATGGATGATGACAATTACAATGCAGTGGATGGAATGGATCTGACCTCACAAGGAGCAGGAACTTACTGGTAATCTCTTGCATACTTCAGAGAAGAATTCTTGAAACAATGTTTCATTCACAGTTTGGGTATGTTATTTGGATATGGGTACTGAGATTAAACGGCCTTAAAAAAATATTGTCACCTAGTCGTCAGAAGTGACCAAAGTTTCAAAGCCATTAACTTTTGGAAGTTGCCATGTGAACCCTATTCACCGGCATATGAGCATAACCGGCATGGTAACATGGTTGGTAGCTCGCTCTTGACCTAAGATAGTTGCCTTCTGGGTCATTCAGTCTGCCCTGATGTCACTTGTTGTGAACATGCACAGCGTAGAGGAAAGTATGCCATTATGGTTACGTTTTGCAGAATAGTCTCAAGTGTTAATCCTAATCTGAACATTTAAAACGAAGAAAATAAAAATCCTCCCTAACGTTTAAAATGAATAAAAATGAATTTTAAATAAATAAAATAGACAAAAAAATTGCGTGATTCCTTACTCCCCTCTGATTTGATGCAGCTGTGTTGATGCCCTCTGCAAAACCAATCTGTGTTGAGCTGTGGGCATCACCTGGCATGTTGTGGGTGTTCGTTAGGAGGGATGGACTGGCGGGCATTTGGAATTGGTGGGGTGGATTTAATTTTTTTTTAATTCTGTACCCAATCCAGCGAAGTCCAAATTCCAGATACTTTTGAGTCCGGATAACTGGGGGTTGAGTGTAATATTTTGTGTAAATATTTTGTGCAAAGTAATCAATATCTCCTCTTTTTTTTCCCCAGGTACTTGCCTCCTGAATGTTTTGTAGTAGGAAAAGAGCCACCCAAGATTTCAAATAAAGTTGACGTTTGGTCTGTAGGAGTTATTTTCTTCCAGTGTCTTTATGGACGAAAGGTAAGAGGTTTATGTTAAAGTTTGTTGTGTAATTACAAGGTTGTTGCTATTTCTGGACATGATTTATGCCTGTATCTAAATGATTGTTTGAACATTTTCAGCCATTTGGTCACAACCAGTCACAGCAGGACATCTTGCAAGAAAATACAATATTGAAAGCAACAGAAGTTCAATTCCCTGTTAAGCCAGTTGTTAGCAATGAAGCAAAGGTAACCGGCCAAACTTTGTTTTAATGTAAATGTCTTGTTCGGATTTTCTTTCTGTATGTGTTTATCAAATACTCCGGTTTAGAGTTAATACAAAAATAATACTTGTATTTGATATAGTACCTTATAGTGTCCAAATGTCTCAAAGTGCTTCACAGAGTGTTCAGAAAAGTGTAGTGACTGTTTATTGGCTGGCCGGTGTGGCACTTCTGACAATGCAACGCTCTCCCAGTGCTATGTCTAAATGAGCTTAAGGCTTCTAAGGATTTCCGCCCACAGCACAGAAACAACTTTGGTCAAAGTCACTAATGATATTCTATCTCCTCATCCTCCTTGATCACTCTATCCTCCTTCACCGCCTCTCTCACCTCAACCTTCATTGGAGTCCTCTAGCTCAGTGGTTAGAGCACTCGCTTTGCAAGTGAGAGACCTGAGTTCAATTCCAGGCAGAGGGCGAAACCTTGGGCAAGTTTCCTTACTCCACACAGAGCCTAATAATAATCCCTCCAAAACCAAAAAAAACAATAATAAATTGGTCATTTTCAATCTACGACTGTTTGTGGGACATTGCTGTGCGCAATTGGCTGCCACGTTCGCCCACAAATATACAGTCAATTCACTTTACAGTGTGCTGTGAAGCGCTTTGGGACGTCCTCCCGACGTGAAAAGCGCTATATCAAATGCAAGGATTATTATTATTATTATTATTATTCTAATGGGGCTGGAACCCACAACTTTCTCATTCCGAGGTGAGAGAGAGGTGGCGGCAACTGAGTGTAGCTGACACTATGTGAGAGATTGTTGTCGGGGTAACTCGTGTATCTCTTACATTACAGTAGAGAGCTCAATCACACTAATTGACACCCGCCCCATTGTGTATGTAAAAAGAATGCAGAAACATATCAGGTCATCATGCACAATACAATGTATTGAACTAACTTTAAAACCCTTGCACCAGTAGTTGTATTGTCATTGTGTCACGTTATAACACTGTTGTACACTTCCCAGCTTCTGTTATCTACAGTAATTAGCAAATCTTTACAACAATAAAATGTAAAACGTCTATTATTCCAGGGTTTCATACGGCGTTGTTTAGCTTACCGCAAAGAAGACCGTTTTGATGTCCACCTCCTGGCTAATGATGCCTATCTTCTCCCTCATATGCGAAGGTCAAATTCTTCAGGGAATCTACACATGACTACTCTTCCTGTTCCTCCAACATCAAGCACCATCTGTTATTGAGACTTATTTTTGTCAGGCTGACTAGTATTGTAAAGCTTCTTTCCAGACCTAACTTTCTGCAGGGTGTCGTAACTCGTATTTTTTCCTCTCTCGGAGGAAAAGGCAGGCAAGAAGGAGAGAAGAGAACGGAGAAGAAAGAGGCAGTGGAATGATCAAGGAGATGTGCTCATGTTAACATATTTTGAATCCTTTGATTTTGATCTACTTCTTAAATGAAATTGAACTATGGACAACAGTAAAGCTGCACTTCCAAAAGTGACAGTAAAACTCAGTCCCTCCCCCCCCCCCCCCATCAAGCAGCCTTTGTGTTCAAAAGTTAAATTGTTTGTTCACCCTCTTTTTTTGGGAACACTGTATATAGTAGTCTAATGAATTTGGGACTATTTTTAATACTTAATACTGTTTTGGTTTAGAATAAGCCTACAATGAGGTGTTTGAGCACAAAGAAGGCAAAATGCAGAAATCCAACAGTCCACCCCAATAAAAAAATTATGTAAAGAAAGATTGTAGTAGCTTTTGTAAACCTGCAAAATGCACAAGAACATTTGCATATTGAAGCTACTATAAGCAGCTGGTGTATTTATAGGTCAAACTGTAGAATGTACTGTGCAGAATAATAGTAAAATAGCATTGTTTTATATTGTTGTAAATGATTTCATTATATTTACCTTATTCCTAAGTTACAGCAGTTTTGATTCTGTACAGGCTGTGTAAAAATCCGGCTTTATTTGTTTAGTTTTACTAATTGGGTCTCTGATTCCAACATTGGAGTGTACCATTGCTGCTAGGTGGCGTTGTTATTTTTGTTAATATTATTTGGCCTCCACACATACGTTATCCACAAAGACCTGGTATGTAAAAGGCTTTAATTTCTATTAAATAAGACCATTTTAGGCAGATTTTTAAAAAGGAAACGTTTGAAGACATAGAGACCATTTTATCGACGAATCTTGACTCATTTGTTAAAATTATTCCATTTTGCAACTGTGTGGGAGAAAAAACTGCAAATGTGAGTGAGATTGTAATATGTTTGCAGAATAATTGATTTCTCTCCTGTATAGATATATATATATGATATGAAACAAATTCTGAAAACTGCCTCTGCGCTGTACAAATTACAAATATTCCCAGTAAGCTGCAAAGTCTTGCTGTTCAGTACACTTACTGCTTGTTTTTACTTCCATATTGTAGAATGCCTGTATGTAATTTGTACTCTTTGCAACGAAAAACAGAATTGGTTCATCTAGGCTTTATTAACGTTGTACAATTAAGCTGTTGCCTGTGTTGCTGGTGTAAAAGCTACATCATTTTCACTGTAAATAAAATACGTTAACTGTCAATAAAAAGGTGCTGCTGAAATTGTAGAGAATGTAGCTGAAACCAGTAATAAATATTCAAAATTCTATTTCATTCAGCTTGCTTCGTCTGGAAAAAAAAAATCTGCCTTTAGACTTAAATAATGCTTGATTGATTCATGCATATTTATCATTCTTTGCCCTCACCTCTTCCCTAAAGACTTTGTGCCTGAGTATGAAATATCAATGTGGTCATTCTGTAGCCTTGCAGCTATTGGGTCAGCTCCTGGCTTAAGCTTTTCTGGTTTTTTTTTTTATTTTTATTTCCTCTTCTTCCACTGTTGGAAAAATTGCCTGCATAGAACTGGAGTCCCTTCACACGGGAATTTACAAAATAAACATACTGTGTATATATATATAATTCTGGTAATTTTGATCAGTTATTGAATAAAATGAAAATTATGTCCTAGAATAGTCTTAAACTGTTTACCTTAACATAATGCCTGTCTGGAATAATGAAGTTATACTGGGTAGTGAAAGCTTAAATACTGCATTGACATTTTTATCCATTTGTGCTATATCACTGCATGCAACATGCGTGGGCCATTGTGTAATAAGGGACATCATAGAATCCAGGACGCTGCTTATTTTGTTTGATATGTTTGTAAAACTAACAATGTCATGGCCTGCACTTTTGTGGGTGTTTGGGTCCACAAACTCTATTTAGAAAACGCTTGTTAATTTTTCCAATTTGTGATTGAACGATGTACAGTTAGTTATCAGTGCTGCAATATCGTTGTACTGCATTCAGAGTTTTTTATTTAAAGAGTCAATTATGCTATTTTTCTGGATGCCAATAAGTTATCCACAACTGAGGAGATGAAACCTGGTGCAGTTAGTAAGCTGGGTTGGCCTACTTGTGCAACGGGTTACACTCTGCTATATTTGGTCCTGCATCTGAAATGCTCAATCTTCTCCGTCTCATCCAAATGAGGAAGTTAATACAAGATTAAGAAACACATACTTGTTCATCTGTTAGTTTCACTGGAACAACTGAGTATGAATGGAAATAATGAGAATGCGGAGAAAATTCCACCTGGTGGAAGAATATCCATTCAAGTGACTGCTACAACCTTCAGTAAAATGTGTTTGCCATCGGATCTCCCTCTGGTGATTATCTTTCACCAATTATTTGTCAACACAGTTGAAATCAGTGTCGCTTTCAGACTGAAGTCATATTTGTTCCATTCTCTCCGTGATCAACATAATAAAAGTTGTAGATTGCTTATTTGGCTAAGTACGAAGCCTGTTTGTCAGAGATGAACTGTACAAAAAACAGCAGATCTTGTTTTTGTTGAAGTGTCTACTGTGGCATTCGATACCACTTCCCTATCTTGGGATGCAGTGTTGACGACACAGAGCAGAGAGAGTTGTCTGCAATTTTACCAGTTTGTGGTGAAAAGAAGTAACATTTGAACCTGGAAATACAAAACGTGCATTATTTGTTAGAGTACAAACGGCACAGGCTATAGAGATGAGAAGGAAGCTTTATATCTGCTGTCGATGTCTATTAAATACATTTTGGGCACTCAGTGTTGCTAATCGTGATCATATATTCCTGATATGTTCTTAAAGTCCTACTGGTCACAAGTTAATTATCACTTTAAAACAACCACATTTAGTATTGGTACCAAACCATATTTGAAAGTGAGATTTATTTTGGGGTTTTTGTTTTCTAGTCAATATCCTCAAAACGTCCAATATTTATCCACCGCTCATATCCTTTCTGCATCAGGAGTTCCTCCCTGTGTAATTGGGGGGGGAAAAAAAGAAGTGATTTGGAGTGAGTTCTCAGCATTTGTAACTAAAATCCACCTTCTGTTTCTCAGATTTTGAATACTCCGTAGTAGCTATGAAAATTGTGTGTGTGAAGAACATGTGAGATAAGAATAATAAATATACTGGGTTTTAGAGGACGAATGCATCTTTGAAGTTGAAAGGATACAGTGAACTCTAATTCCATTGCCACCTTGAATAGCCTTGAATTGGTACTGTTGCTATGGCAGTATGTTACTACTGTATAATCCTCCTTGCGGGACTGCACACATCAGATTTTGTTTATAAATTGAGGGGATTTATGAATATATTGTCTGACAAACACAAATAGGCAGAGAGATGGCTGAATAACTGAAGTAACAGGATCCCAAATAGGAGAAGAAAAACATAATAAAAATTCTTGCATTTGATTTAGCACCTTTCTAGCAGGAGGACATTTCAAAGTGCTTCAGAGGATTCACTCTAAAGTGTAGTGACTATTTGAACGCAAACATCTTTGGACATAATAATAATCCTTGCACTTGATATAGCGCCTTACCCTGTCTTTGATACGTCTCAAAAGAGCTTCACAGAACACACTTTAAAGTGAATTGACTGTATATTTTGTGGGTGAAACGCATTCTCCTGATGTGAAAGGTGCTATATAAATGCAATTTGCTGTTTGTTGTCAACAAACTTGTTGTCGAGCTTGCAGGACTATGGGAAGAGAGTGGGATTGATTTGGAAGCTTTTGAAAGAGCTGGCACAGACACGGTGGGGCGAATGGCCTCCTTCTGTGCTGTATAATTCTATGATTCTATGAATAGGAAAATATGAAAAATAGTAAAATAGTAAAAATAGTAGTGTCATTGTGTGAAATATCTTAGTAGACAAAACAGCTGCTCTCATTTCAAGCCAAGAGAGAGACCACGGGACAAACTGAGATTTTCTTGTACTTGTTTGTGTGCGTCAGAGTTAACATATGGCTCAGACAGGATTTCTCCATATTGTTTCTCTGAATGGAGAAAAAAGATTTACAGCGCAGGTATTAAAGATAAGTTTTATTCTTGACAAGTCAGAGCAGATTTTAAATTGCAATTGCAAGATGGCAGCGGGTGATAGAATTGTGATTCGAAACAAATTACACACAACTTAATGAAACCTTAGTAACAAACTGCAAAAAACATAATCCAGGAAACATCCCAGCGCTTGTCAAAGGACAATAGCTTCACCTTATTTACTTTCATCCAATGCAGCAGCTTTCAAGTTAATTACATGAGGTCACATTGCTGAGTGTATTTTTAAATACAGAAACCAGGGAGACCGCACATTCTTAAGAGGACAGCTTTTTCACGTGTAAATCACGTATTCGCTCATCATCGACGCAGACGAGGCAGAACTTTGGGGAGTGGACTGTCACCGCATTCTTAACTGCTGAGCATTCAGTCAGAGTCGGGACAATTTGGGTCAGAATGCAAGGCCGCAAAGTAGTTACGCTGTGGTCACTCAACAGTATTGGAACTTAGACACTCTTGAGAAAAATATTCAATAATCACCTATGCCTCATTTTATACAATATATAAATAAAATATTTAATATGACAATAATATATCAAATCCAAGGATTATTATTAATAGCGTCAGATGTGACTGGATAACATGTGAAACTAAATCACTCCCATTACCACATGGACATAAACAGCCCCAAACCAAAGCTATCAAAAGCTTCTGTAGTAAACTACAACAACAAACGCGCTGAATAAGCAGAAACTTTACAGTTGGCACAAAGAATGCTGTGACTAGCACATTCGGGAGTAGAAACTGCTGAGGTTTGTAGTGTTGGTGTATAGCCCTGTATTATCCGTTTGATGTTAGCGAAGTATGTCATATGTCATGTAATATGAGAGGTACTAAACACATCGACTTGTTTTTCAACAATGTGTTATAACATGCTAATTAACTGCCCCACACGGTTGCTTTTTAAAATGGGAGAAAAATTCTCAGTGTCTAGACTTGGTCACAAGTTACTGTGAAAACGCATTTCCTCAGGTTAAATAGATTTATTCAAAATAATCGTTGCGAAGAGGCCAAACACCACACCCTGGTGGGTTATCTGATAACCCCCGATACCAGGCCACAATGGGTAGGAAGGTTCCAAGTTTAATCCCTGGAGCTAACGTGTCTCAGCCAACGCGAGTGGCGAAGAACTTTATCTGACTTGAATGTTTAATGTTATGGAGTTTCCATAACATTCGGTTGCCAGAGTTTCCAGTGAGATTGCTATCAAGTGGGTAGTGCAGGTATGTTCAAATAACAGGAGAATATAAAAACAGGCTCATCTGTAATAATCTGTTCCACCCTGTGAGGGATGGGAGGAGTGAACACCCATCTTACTAACACTCTGTGCCACAGAATCATTTCACAATATTAGTTTGGATGTAGGAAAGCCTTTGACGGATCTGATCTCATCCTTCAAGTACACCCACCACAGTCCTCTCACCACAGTATCAAGCTGGGATCTCAAAGTGCTACACAAAGATCAGTTCAAATGTTATAAGTATTCCGTATTGCCGACGTTTCCATGAAAATCTTAAGAAAATGAAGATTCTTTTATGAAGCTTTCAAGAAAAATATGTTTTTCATTGTAATAGAATTCCCGTACGTCTGTAAACAATAGCTTTTGAGGTACAGATTCTGGTGCAACCAGAGAAAACAGAGCTGCTTAGTTGCATTTCTTACCAAATTGTGACGTTTACAGTACCTTTTTAGCGGTTAAATAATCCAGGATTCCTATTTGAAAGCATTGTGTGATCTGTTTAACAGCTTTACCCTGGCCTCCCGTCTGTCTGCATCATTGAGCTCTGTTACATTGCAGGAATTCTCTCCATGACCAGACAATGACGGGCGAGAAAGAAGCTGATGTAAATCATACAGTGGCTTGCAGTAATGATGGATTTCAGCTGTAAATAGTTTAGCTGGATTATAACCTTGTGCAGCACACATAAGAAGGTGTATTGGAGAGATCCACGTAGTAAACACACTCCAAATTCATTCTTCCGCCTCCTCCCATTAAAGTTGCTGCTTATGAATCCGACACTTTGATCTAATTAAATTTTCAAAGCTTTAGTATGTTTGTCAATAATGGGGCGAATAGCATTGGTACAGAATACTCTTTTTCGATTGACTGACTCTCCATTTCATTTGAGTAGATATATTGTATGACAATTTTGAGTTCTGCAGGTAGTGACTTAGAAGATTTTAAAACATAGGTTTTATATTAAACTGTCTGGGAATAACCAGA